CCGCACAGCAGCATGGGGAAGTATGGTCAAATAACCCTCCACGACCCGTATGGCATGAGGAGGAACTCAAACAAATGAAAGTGGTATCCAACATATTATTTTGCGCTGAACATTCTAAGGCTATTGTATTAAGATATATAACATTAGTGAAACATTTTACTGCTATAAAGGATTAATTACTAAAAGAGTGTTTTCAGATCATGACAAAATACCTAAAAGTAACAATGAAATACAATGTGTCGTGTTCTATCGGCTTATGGGGCTTTTGGAACCAAAAGCCCCGAGTGATCAATTTACGGACACCCCACCGATTACTAATAACCCTCGTCTCATGCAATACATTTGTGTGTTGAACAATCGCGTAGGGTATCTGTAAATGGATTACCCTTCATTTTACCAGCACCACTTATTTAAGGAAGCAAACTCTGAAACGGTTTCAACCATCCGAGTCACATCGGCGGTGCACAATCCGAAGGTTATGCTGCGCGTAAAAGGAAATAGCAAAAAATTATGAAATAATTCGTGATGTTGTTTTGGTTAGAGTGCAGTCTTGCCTATGAGTCAGACCAGGCGGGCAACTGACACACTTGTGCAAACACAGGCTCTGAAAGGCATTCAAAGTTCACACACCTGGGCATCAATCACCGCAACGCATGTGCAAACCTAGCCACCCATTAAATACAGATAAGCTGTCCACTACGGCTGGAATATAACGTATACAGTAAGGTCACGGTATAATGACACATCGTGCAATATCGCATCTTAGGTACACGATACGTGCAAGTGGCGATTTTATTATATTCGTACATGTTGTGCCTCTGTGTCGCTTCGTATTGTTGTAAGTTTCTCACCCGCCCCTACTGGGCATCTGTGAAAAAGAAGCTTAAGGATAAAGATTCTGATTATTCCCAGCATGCACCTCTCCCCTCACTTTTCTTGCACAATGTTCAACTTTTTGATGCATTTTCTGTCGGTGTTATTTTTTTCAAGGCAGGTAATACGAACTGATTGTGCAGTAGCAGGAGGGATGGCAATGGCTTGGGGAGACCTGTGGACAGATCATGGCTGACAAAGATGGCAATGTTGTACGTAACAGGTTCAGGTCACGCCAGAATCCGCTAATGAATGCTGCGTTCACACGAAGGTTATAGAGAGTGTGTGCTTGGTTTGAATCACGACAATTTATCGTTTCACCAGGGGAGGAATCATCACATCCCCTACAGTAAGCTCGGCATTGGACTTGGAGCGATTCACCCCCACTGCATCACAATTTGATTAAACCTACATATTTGTTGACATGTTCATATTGTTTTTCGTTTGTTCAGCCTCATTTGTCATTTGGGCTAAATTAAACTATGGTATATAACTTCCATGAATCGTACATGCTTAACATTGACAGAAAGAAGAACACATGGATTGAAACCATACGTAGGTTAATAACATCGTCAAAACTCTGAAGAAAAGGGGGCTTTCGCACGACACGTGATGGCGAGAGGGGACGATGTACAACAGTCAAGAATGATTACAAAGTGGCAGCCACCTGATGACGATTGCTTGTGTTGCGATCGAAACGTCGTGATCTATTATTTTTCTACCTACGTGACTTTACCAAAAGAACCAAAGATTATGGATTCCTGCAGTCACGAAAGCTTCAAATCCAGATCACAACTTGCTTTTAATTATGTTTAAACTGGAAAAATTGCGTATTTTTATTTATTTTTACGTTTAAGGATAAGATGGCCCTTTGGGTGGCAGATTTATGCCAGAAAGGTGCCACATGTTTACCAAAAATAAACTGACTTGGCTTGACCAATCAACATTCAGTGAAAAAACAAACATGTAAATGATTGGCTCTTTGGTACAATCCCTGGTGAACGAGCGGATGGCTTGATTAAATCATTCACGCGCAATTAAAGGAAAAATAAAATAAAATTTCTCAATCATTAGTGACCAGGCTGAGACCTTCAACTCACGACACTTGAGCACCCGGTTTAACCACGGATGGCTGAAGTCAGGGATATGAATGCAGGGTTCCTATTATTGCCGACCTTGATTGCTGAATTATTTTATTTAAGTGCATTCCTGGATTTCGATTGGAATATTCATATTGCATTGTTTCAACAAATTGTCAAGTTTCAAGGTCTCGGTTCGATTTACAAATTTTTTTTTTTTTTTATCTGTAGTTGTGTGACTATAGAATGTTCAATGGTATAAACCTATAACATCCATAGGTGGCATTAACCTATACAATATTATTTATAGCCCTTTGTTATTCCACTACGACGTGAAGGCCTTCTCATGCCAGGTCAGTCACTGGGGATGTTTGAGCATACTTCACGCTGGTCAGTGCGGGTTGAAGGGGGCCCAGGCCTCACCACCGATGTTAGCCGTGGCCAGGAGTGGCTCCACGTGCCAGACCCTGGTAACGTCCCAAATGACAGGCTGTCTTGACTGTCGTGAGTCTCCTGCTGTTTGATTAATGCTTTCACGGCGACAGGGTTACCCTAAATCTGCGCAACTCTTGTTCACCATAATATAGTCACGCATGGGCAACTCAGCTCTGAGGCCAGGGATCAAACCCAGTTCGCCGAGTTCATAGCGCAATGCGCTCACCACCATGCCACCACTCCACCCGTACATTTTTGTGTTGGCAGTGGAGTCCAAGCATAAAGTTCACCCTTTATTTAAGTACTGTTCAAAGGATAATTTATTGAAATGTCAGCCTGCAACTATTTGCATTTTTCTGTCATAAAGCACAGTCAGTGATAAAGGTGGCGATGATTGTTGGCATATCCGAATGAAGCCGCAGACCTGTGGTCAACCACAGCCTTACAATGCAGAATAACGATCTCACTGCTAGTAATAAACGAGTCTGCATCATCACCACTTAACACTCAGCTCCCAACATTTGTATGTAGTGGTCCGGCATGCCCAGATGGCCACTGGCAGATTCATGCTGCCAAGGAATGTCAACAACAATTAACAGACACAAGCAGCTACATGCTTGGGGACCTAATCTTTCCAATAATCCACCCAGCGAGTGCCAACCCTCAACGTTCCGTGCCAGTTGTGTGTGTACACACACGGCTAAATTCATGGTCTTCACCGACTGATGAGTCTCATCCCCGAGTATGCTTTGGTTTTTTTCTGGGGGGTTTTCTATGAACCCAGAGATCACCGGTTCAATCCCTCAGTGCAATATTTGAAAGAATGGACAAGTTTCTAAATTCCCTCGGGATAAACTTTGGGTAGTCCCTCATCTACCAAGATGATTACGCCAGTGTGGCAGACAATATGCGTAGTGTCCTCTAGAGGGAGCTCTCTCTCTTAGATGGCCTTCCAACAGCATTGACGTGAACAAGCAATTGCAGGGTCGTTCCCTAATACTTTAAATGTGATGCCTTTTTACTCAATGGTTTTTCATCTCCGTACATGCTGATGTTTTGTCTCACCATATTTTACTGCTTGGTGGGTGAATTTCAAGGAATTAACAGCCTTAGGGGAGGTTACGAGGTTTCTACACATGTCTTGCACCACATCCACAATAAATATGTTTACGACAAAGCGACTTCACACTTGACGTCACAAGTATAAAGGGAGGGTATTTCCCCCCCATCTTCGATAGGGACAGAATTGTTCGCTAAAAGCTTCCCCTGGTCAGCAATACCGCGCGCCACAGGAAAAGTCAAGACCCTTCAGGCTACTTACACCAAGCGAATGATAAATATTTCAATGCAAGCTTATCCAATATTTTGTACATATTTAACAGTTATTGCACCTGTACTTGGCGATTTAACTTTTTATTGTATTTGTTGCGCATGCGAGTACACAATCAACTACTTACACCACTATCAATTCAAATTGCCCATCCATGTATGACCGGGTAATGTTTCAACCACACTGATGTAATGTGATTCTAAATCTTCACCATCATGATCATAATCATGATCTATCTACTGCTGAAAATACTTCCCCAAACCGCCAGCATCTTTCATCATCTTTCCTTGCAACTATCCACATAGCTTCACACAAACGAGCTGACTTAATCGTTCCATCTCCACCGACAATAGCCGTGTTCCCTACTTTGAATGCCACTCCACTGTTAAAACCAAACTAAGACAAATACCAAACAAAAGCACATTTTGTGCTGCTGTCAAGCACTGGAGGTAGTAATTCTATCAAATAACTTCCTTCTGTCTACACGCTTAATTAAATAAAATGTTGAGTCCATCAGCCTATGGGTCTTCCGTACCAACAATATCCTGTGCTCTGAGACAATTGAGATGTTGTGAGTGCATGAAAAATATAATAAAATATAATAAAAATCGAAGAATAATTTCAAATTGTAATGCGACGCACAGTCTCAAATAAATAGAAGAACTTAGAGGTGAGAAGAACAACGGACAAGCGGGAAAGGCAGCCAGGCGGTGAGTTATTGCCAATTTCCCCCCTCCAAGCTCTGTGGTCCTCTATACATTAAGGTACTATTAGCCAATTATTGAGTGTTTACATGTGGGAGGAAACCGGAACATCAGGATAAAATCCCCACGTGAAAGGGGGCCACACTCTATCCCATAAAGGTGGAACATATGGAGTCCACATTTGCTGTGCAGTCTTCTGGCAAAGCCATGTTGACACCCTACGGAAATTGAGTTTGACAACATCTTTGTGATCCAACAACCAAAAATATATTGTTGTTGTACCCAGCAGCATCTGTTCAAACAATGGGCCAAATTTGACATGCTGCATCTCCAGCTACATGCCATGGGTGTGGTGGTACTGCACGCCTATGATTTACAGGCAAGGCTAGGTGGTTCACGCGCTGCAAGTCTGTGAGACTCTGAAACCCACTGTATGTATGTTGAACTTCTTTTGCACCGTACGTAGCCAACCGTGCTAATCGGAAGTGTGGGGGAAGGACAACACTGTGCTGCGAGGTGGCAGCAAGTAGCTTGATCAACCGTTACATACGTACTTCACACAGGTTCCCAAGTCCATACCTGCGGAGGAGCTGCCCGGCCTGAACGTTGATGTGGTCGCTCACGGAGCCTGCGAGGGTGACACAAACACAGGAACGTATATGCCTTAGACACACTTAGGTTCCCTAGGCTTCTGCAATCATGCCCCAGGCTTCATTAGCTAGACTGAGGCACATTGGGAACGTTTATAATTAGGTGTAAACATCTGAGGCTCAAAGGCAGGCAGACAGCTTAAGGGTCTGTAAATCGTAAGAATAATATAAATGTATTTACTCAGAAGAACCTCGCTGAGCCTCAAGACTAATTTTTAAGAGAGTTTTGCATTTGTTCTATTCGTGTGGGAGGAAACTGGAATGCCTGGAGGAAACTCACAAGCCAGAGGGGATACCATTCCAAGGTTTAGCAAAAATTGGGTTCACAAACCCACTAACTGGCTGTTGTTATCTGGTGGCAACCTCCCAGCCCGTAGGCAGGCCAGTTTGCTAATATATCTCAATCTGCCATTCCTCACAGTAATCACAGAAAACTCACAAAGTTTTTTATTTAACCTGTAAATTTACAATTATCATCGAACAAAGATGGTCACTGCATCTCGCGCTTTCAGATACGCTTCTGCGGCCATCTGGAACGCTCTTCATTCCAATATTAGGAATCCACTAGGAGCGATGCACTTTTAAATCATCATCTCGATTGAACACTCATTTCTTGAGAGCTGCTTTTTGTGTTTAGTTTGTGGTCCTTCACCCGCACCTCCGATTAGCACAGTTGGCTATGTACGTTGCAAAATAAGTTCAATATACATACAATATTTAGGTGTATTTCCTGAAAAAAGCCAGTGGGACAAAACGTCAAGATTTTCGTTTCCTCTAGGTAACATTAAAACATGTGTTATTTTAATCAACCAGCTATTGTTTGTACAAGTTTACTGCAGCAAAATAATGTATGTTCATCTTCATCAGTCATGACCAATCCACTGCTGGATGTACACAACATATAGTATGTAGTGCATGTGTGTCGTCAATGTCTTTTAGCATATAGGAGTATATACAACTGCCCTGCATGCTTTTTCCCCTTTACATATAAACGTGCATTCAATGCATGTCTACGTTTACCAAATATGCCATCATTTATAATCATACAAATATAAAAACGAATATGAATACACACATTCTTTCGTGTGTATTCTCAAAGGCAGCTAGTTAATGACCGATACATTTTTTCAGTGATCAAAACTCAAGAAGTGATTTATTTTGAAATGAGTATCAATATGAATTTCCTCTCCTGTTCAACGTTCTGAGCCAGTGGTGGAAATTCCACATTCTTATGGTGGGAGGCTTGTGCAATCATCAGACACATATTGATGATTGCTTACCCACACTCGATCCTATTTCATCCATCTAGGAGGGATGATGGGCTGCGTCAACCCCTAACCAGGATTTTAACTGGCAAACCCTCCCCTGGTTACGAGAATCTCGCTCTAATGCCGAGTCGCCCAGCTGGAAGTTCAGTGACGAGCAAACTCGTCTGGTTAAAGTTGGGCAGACACATGAGTCATAAATCGAAGTACCATCTCCTGATAAGCGCTATAAAGGCTGTCATCTGCAGGTCAGTATGGGTAGAGTCTTGGGTGTAGGTAGAGGCATAATTTCTTAAATCTGATTCTGGCTTACATGCGTTTCCAAAATACAACACGTGCTATGAAGAAGGGTCATTGCCCGAAACGTCGCTGATTTTGTATTTGTTGACATGTGTGTTGAGTATATTTGTTCATGACCACTATAGTATGAGATTAATAGTTCGGATGTCAAAGTACATACACTATAATTATGCTAAGAATCCTCGATTGATATGTATGTTGAACTTATTTCGTGCTAATCAGAGGTGCAGGAGAAGCACCACAAACCAAATACAAAAAGCAGTTCTACAGAAATTCGTTTTCAGAGATACATGCATGCGGGGAATTACACAGAGAGATAGGAAGAGGAACACGTGGATTACACAACATACGCGAGTTAAAGACATGATTTTTTTTTTACTCTAAGAACCGAAAGTGCGATCGGGCAGGGGGCACGTCGCTAGAATGATGATCGATGGCGGGTGGTTTCAGTTCACGGCAGCGCGGCACGCCAAGGAACGGGAACGAGCCCGCGATGCTGTCCACCGAAGGAGAGAGATGATGATGGCAGGGTCGGAATAAGTTGGGAATGTTTTTTGTTTAACAGGTAAAAGGCCAACTTGAGCTGTGTCGCTGTTTTTTTTAGAAGAAGCGACCTGGCCACAGATAATAATAATAATAGCTCAACGAAATGGTTCATCGTGTGGAAATGCATAGCGGACAAATACGATAAACGTACGTTTCTAAATGTGGATAGAAAACCGGAGGATCCGGAGAAGAATACACGCGATCACGGGGAAAGAAAGACAGACACGCAAACTACAAATTTACAACCGGTGTCACAGGGAGGTCGGGATCGAACCCACGACCTCCTGTATGCCAGGCGATGTAGTTAACATCTCACCACCGCGGGAGGCCTCCATCCAGCAGTGGATTGACACAAAGCGATGCGCGTCTGTGTTTACGAACTCTCACCTAAACACTTCAACCCCCCCCCACTCCTACCACGGCGCCAGACGAGCCCCCCCAGTCTCAGTTGGTACCCTGTCTTGTCAATGATCATCTCATCACCTGCAAAGCGCCTCACCTTGGAAGAAGCAAAGCCTGGCCGATCACCGTGCATAGCCAGGCGCTATAGGCTACGTTTTTAGCGCATGACAGCGCAGCAACAATCCACGGTACCTTTGCTCCAAACACCATCCCTGGGTGAGTGGGTGAGTGGATGAGTGGATGAGTGGGTGAGTGGGTGAGTGGATGAGTGGATGAGTGGGTGAGTGGATGAGTGGATGAGTGAGTGGATGGGTGAGTGAGTGGGTGGGTGAGTGAGTTAGTGGGTGGGCGGGTGAGTGAGTGGGCGGGTGAGTGGGTGAGTGAGTGGATGAGTGGATGAGTGGGTGAGTGGATGAGTGGGTGAGTGGATGAGTGGATGAGTGGGTGAGTGGATGAGTGAGTGGATGGGTGAGTGAGTGGGTGGGTGAGTGAGTTAGTGGGTGTGGGCGGGTGAGTGAGGGGGCGGGTGAGTGAGTGGGTGAGTGAGTGGATGAGTGGGTGAGTGAGTGGATGGGTGAGTGAGTGAGTGGATGGGTGAGTGAGTGGGTGAGTGGGTGAGTGAGCGGGTGAATGAGCGGGTGAGTGAGTGTGTGAGTGGGTGAGTGAGTGGAAGACCATAATCCAGCAGTGGATAGCCAAACAGCCGTGTGTGTGTGTTGTACGTCTCTGCAGACCGCCGTCTCACCTCTCCTCGCCGCTCTCCCGGCTGCGTCCTCCCCGCCTGCCGCCAGCGCCCGGCACCCGCCGCCGGCCTCGGCGGTCACCCGCGCCGCGTCCCCCGACGCTCCCTCGGACATGGCGCGCCGGTCTTAGAACCTCTCGCCTCCCCTCACTGCACCGGCGACGACGGCGACAAGGGCGACTACGACGATGAAAGACGACGACGGCGACTACGGAACAAGTTGAGGGAGTTTAGAAGTTGTTGTTGTTGTTCTTGAGCACGAAGCACTACGGAGCCGCGCACACGCACACGCGCGCGCGCGCGAGCTACTTCCGGGGGGGTGGGGGGTGTACAGGGCGGGGCCAACTCCGCGTGACGTCACCGGGAGGTCAGCGGGGGTGTACAGGGCGGGGCCAACTCCGCGTGACGTCACCGGGAGGTCAGCGGGGGGGGCGGGGCATCGTCTTAATAACGGTGACATGACGTCACTTAGCGCGATGGAGTTCACCGGTCACGACGTCGTGTCGCTGCTAGAGAAGTAAAATAAGGGGGGGGGGGGCGATGGTGTTGGACTCGAAGTGCACCTAGCCTGGCACAGGCGACGTGGTGACGTTACCGTCACTTAGTGGCGAATGGCGAGGGAGAGGGGGAGAGAGTCTTGACGTGACGTCATAGCGTGGCATCGTAGTGGCAATTTTTGGAAAGCGAAATTGTTTCGCAGATATCAGAGGGGTGCGTAAAGCAGGTAGTGTGGCCTAATTACGTTGGGGGTTAATGTTAACAACAATAACGGCGACAATAATGCGGTCTGGAGTGTGGAACCAAGCAGCGACAAATGACAAAAATATAGCCATAACCGGTTCCCAGTTGCAACACACCCTCAATATGTTTGTGTTCTTAAGTACAACACTTTAGCCGTCGTCCAGCAGCGGATTGATCATGGCTGATGATAACAGTGTATGGGCGTTTCTCGTACCGTAATGCTTAAGATAATGACTAAAACACATACACACGTCATACATGTCAACCCCTTATCAGTGCCCTACCTTAGTACAGACCAATGCAGACCTTATTGCTCACCCCGTGCCCTTATAAATCTCAATGTTCATCCCACACAGTCCCACCACAAGGGAGAAACACAAACAAAATATACAAAACAAATATTACCCGTATTGACGACGGCTGTACACCGTGTTGACCTGAACACTCAATTTCCCTCTACAAGAATGCGGATAAAACGTATGGGTCGACAGGTATGCATACGTACGCCTCACGAAGACTTCTCACAGATCTCCAAAGTGGTTATATCCCGATAATATCACCGCGATGAAATCAAAACTCTTTCTCCCGAGAGAAGCGTGCCCTAATCGCCGTCCAAAGTGCGTCCCAATTGCAGACAGTGCCCTGGCGGGCATGCCTGGACATGCCTCACAAAATGCCGACTGCTTCAAGTCCAACTCCCAATGAACCCAGTCAACGTGACGTTCGCCCAACGCTGGCATCCTGTTGGGTCAACGTTGGCACGAGGTTAGGTCAACGTTGTCACGAGGTTGGGTCAACGCTGGCATGAGGTTGGGTCAACGCTGGCACACGGTTGGGTCAATGTTGGCACGAGGTTGGGTCAACGCTGGCATGAGGTTGGGTCAACGCTGGCATGAGGTTGGGTCAACGCTGGCACGCTGTTGGGTCAACGTTGGCACGAGGTTGGGTCAACGTTGGCATGAGGTTGGGTCAACGCTGGCACCCTGTTGGGTCAACGTTGGCACGAGGTTGGGTCAACGTTGGCACGAGGTTGGGTCAACGTTGGCACGAGGTTGGGTCAACGTTGGCACGCTGTTGGGTCAACGTTGGCACGCGGTTGGGTAAACGTTGGCATGAGGTTGGGTCAACGCTGGCACGCGGGTGGGTCAACGTTGGCACGCTGTTGGGTCAACGTTGGCACCCTGTTGGGTCAACGTTGGCATGAGGTTGGGTCAACGTTGGCATGAGGTTGGGTCAACGCTGGCACGCGATTGGGTCAACGCTGGCACGCGGTTGGGTCAACGCTGGCACGCGGGTGGGTCATTGCTGGCACGGGGTTGGGTCAACGCTGGCACCGTTGGGTCAACGTTGGCACGAGGTTGGGTCAACGCTGGCACGCTGTTGGGTCAACGCTGGCACGCGGTTGGGTCAACGTTGGCACGCGGTTGGGTCAACGCTGGCACGCGGTTGGGTCAACGCTGGCACGCGGTTGGATCAACGCTGGCACGCGGGTGGGTCAACGTTGGCACGCTGTTGGGTCAACGTTGGCACCCTGTTGGGTCAACGTTGGCATGAGGTTGGGTCAACGTTGGCATGAGGTTGGGTCAACGCTGGCACGCGATTGGGTCAACGCTGGCACGCGGTTGGGTCAACGCTGGCACGCGGGTGGGTCATTGCTGGCACGGGGTTGGGTCAACGCTGGCACCGTTGGGTCAACGTTGGCACGAGGTTGGGTCAACGCTTGCACGCTGTTGGGTCAACGCTGGCACGCGGTTGGGTCAACGTTGGCACGCGGTTGGGTCAACGTTGGCACGCTGTTGGGTCAATGCTGACATGCTGTTGGGTCAATGTTGGCACGCTGTTGGGTCAACGCTGGCATGAGGTTAGGTCAACGCTGGCACGCTGTTGGGTCAATGTTGGCACGAGGTTGGGTCAACGTTGGCACGCTGTTGGGTCAATGTTGGCATGAGGTTGGGTCAACGTTGGCACGCTGTTGGGTCAACGCTGGCATGAGGTTGGGTCAACGTTGGCACGCTGTTGGGTCAACGTTGGCATGAGGTTGGGTCAACGTTGGCACGCTGTTGGGTCAATGCTGGCACGCGGTTGGGTCAACGTTGGCACCCTGTTGGGTCAACGCTGGCACGCGGTGGGTCAACGTTGGCACCCTTTTGGGTCAACGCTGGCACGTGGTGGGTCAACGTTGGCACGCTGTTGGGTCAACGTTGGCACGAGGTTGGATCAACGCTGGTACGCTGTTGGGTCAACGCTGGCACGCGGTTGGGTCAACATTGACAGGCGGTTGGGTCAACGCTGGCACGCGGTTGGGTCAACGTTGGCACGCGGTTGGGTCAACGTTGGCACCCTGTTGGGTCAACGCTGGCACGTGGTGGGTCAACGTTGGCACGCTGTTGGGTCAACGTTGGCACGAGGTTGGATCAACGCTGGTACGCTGTTGAGTCAACGCTGGCACGCGGTTGGGTCAACATTGACACGCGGTTGGGTCAACGTTGGCATGAGGTTAGATCAACGCTGGTACGCTGTTGGGTCAATGCTGGCACGCGGTTGGCTCAACGTTGGCACCCTGTTGGGTCAACGCTGGCACGCGGTGGGTCAACGTTGGCACGCTGTTGGGTCAACGTTGGCACGAGGTTGGATCAACGCTGGTACGCTGTTGGGTCAACGCTGGCACGCGGTTGGGTCAACATTGACACGCGGTTGGGTCAACGTTGGCATGAGGTTGGGTCAACGTTGGCACGAGGTTGGGTCAACGTTGGCACGAGGTTGGGTCAACGCTGGCATGAGGTTGGGTTAACGTTGGCACCCTGTTGGGTCAACGCTGGCATGAGGTTGGGTCAATGCTGGCACGAGGTTGGGTCAATGCTGGCATGAGGTTGGGTTAACGTTGGCACCCTGTTGGGTCAATGCTGGCACGCTGTTGGGTCAATGTTGGCACGAGGTTGGGTCAACGTTGGCACGCTGTTGGGTCAATGTTGGCATGAGGTTGGGTCAACGCTGGCACCCTGTTGGGTCAATGTTGGCACGAGGATGGGTCAACGTTGGCACGCGGTTGGGTCAACGTTGGCACGCTGTTGGGTCAACGTTGGCATGAGGTTGGGTCAACGTTGGCACGCTGTTGGGTCAATGTTGGCATGAGGTTGGGTCAACGCTGGCACCCTGTTGGGTCAATGTTGGCACGAGGTTGGGTCAACGTTGGCACGCGGTTGGGTCAACGTTGGCACGCTGTTGGGTCAACGTTGGCACCCTGTTGGGTCAACGTTGGCATGAGGTTGGGTCAACGTTGGCATGAGGTTGGGTCAACGCTGGCACGCGATTGGGTGAACGCTGGCACGCGGTTGGGTCAACGCTGGCACGCGGGTGGGTCATTGCTGGCACGGGGTTGGGTCAACGCTGGCACCGTTGGGTCAACGTTGGCACGAGGTTGGGTCAACGCTGGCACGCTGTTGGGTCAACGCTGGCACGCGGTTGGGTCAACGTTGGCACGCGGTTGGGTCAACGTTGGCACGCTGTTGGGTCAATGCTGACATGCTGTTGGGTCAATGTTGGCACGCTGTTGGGTCAACGCTGGCATGAGGTTGGGTCAACGCTGGCACGCTGTTGGGTCAATGTTGGCACGAGGTTGGGTCAACGTTGGCACGCTGTTGGGTCAACGTTGGCATGAGGTTGGGTCAACGTTGGCACGCTGTTGGGTCAACGCTGGCATGAGGTTGGGTCAACGTTGGCACGCTGTTGGGTCAACGTTGGCATGAGGTTGGGTCAACGTTGGCACGCTGTTGGGTCAATGCTGGCACGCTGTTGGGTCAATGCTGGCACGCGGTTGGGTCAACGTTGGCACCCTGTTGGGTCAACGCTGGCACGCGGTGGGTCAACGTTGGCACCCTTTTGGGTCAACGCTGGCACGTGGTGGGTCAACGTTGGCACGCTGTTGGGTCAACGCTGGCACGCGGTTGGGTCAACATTGACACGCGGTTGGGTCAACGCTGGCACGCGGTTGGGTCAACGTTGGCACGCGGTTGGGTCAACGTTGGCACCCTGTTGGGTCAACGCTGGCACGTGGTGGGTCAACGTTGGCACGCTGTTGGGTCAACGTTGGCACGAGGTTGGATCAACGCTGGTACGCTGTTGAGTCAACGCTGGCACGCGGTTGGGTCAACATTGACACGCGGTTGGGTCAACGTTGGCATGAGGTTAGATCAACGCTGGTACGCTGTTGGGTCAATGCTGGCACGCGGTTGGCTCAACGTTGGCACCCTGTTGGGTCAACGCTGGCACACGGTGGGTCAACGTTGGCACGCTGTTGGGTCAACGTTGGCACGAGGTTGGATCAACGCTGGTACGCTGTTGGGTCAACGCTGGCACGCGGTTGGGTCAACATTGACACGCGGTTGGGTCAACGTTGGCATGAGGTTGGGTCAACGTTGGCACGAGGTTGGGTCAACGTTGGCACGAGGTTGGGTCAACGCTGGCATGAGGTTGGGTTAACGTTGGCACCCTGTTGGGTCAACGCTGGCATGAGGTTGGGTCAATGCTGGCACGAGGTTGGGTCAATGCTGGCATGAGGTTGGGTTAACGTTGGCACCCTGTTGGGTCAATGCTGGCACGCTGTTGGGTCAATGTTGGCACGAGGTTGGGTCAACGTTGGCACGCTGTTGGGTCAATGTTGGCATGAGGTTGGGTCAACGCTGGCACCCTGTTGGGTCAATGTTGGCACGAGGTTGGGTCAACGTTGGCACGCGGTTGGGTCAACGTTGGCACGCTGTTGGGTCAACGTTGGCATGAGGTTGGGTCAACGTTGGCACGCTGTTGGGTCAATGTTGGCATGAGGTTGGGTCAACGATGGCACCCTGTTGGGTCAATGTTGGCACGAGGTTGGGTCAACGTTGGCACGCGGTTGGGTCAACGTTGGCACGCTGTTGGGTCAACGTTGGCATGAGGTTGCGTCAACGTTGGCACGCTGTTGGGTCAACGCTGGCATGAGGTTGGGTCAACGTTGGCACGCTGTTGGGTCAACGTTGGCATCAGGTTGGGTCAACGTTGGCACGCTGTTGGGTCAACGCTGGCATGAGGTTGGGTCAACGTTGGCACGCTGTTGGGTCAACGCTGGCATCAGGTTGGGTCAACGTTGGCATGCTGTTGGGTCAATGCTGGCACGCGGTTGGGTCAACGTTGGCACCCTGTTGGGTCAACGCTGGCACGCGATGGGTCAATGTTGGCACGCTGTTGGGTCAACGTTGGCACGAGGTTGGATCAACGCTGGTACGCTGTTGGGTCAACGCTGGCACGCGGTTGGGTCAACGTTGGCATGAGGTTGGGTCAACGTTGGCACGAGGTTGGATCAACGCTGGTACGCTGTTGGGTCAACATTGACACGCGGTTGGGTCAACGTTGGCATGAGGTTGGGTCAACGTTGGCACGAGGTTGGGTCAACGTTGGCACGAGGTTGGGTCAACGCTGGCATGAGGTTGGGTTAACGTTGGCACGAGGTTGGGTTAACGTTGGCACGAGGTTGGGTCAACGCTGGCATGAGGTTGGGTTAACGTTGGCACACTGTTGGGTCAACGCTGGCACGCGGTTGGGTCAACATTGACACGCGGTTGAGTCAACGTTGGCACGAGGTTCGGTCAACGTTGGCA